GTCTCAGCACCGGAGGGAACATATGAACCGGTGGTTGAGGAGATGCGATGCTTGATGTTTGGGCGCGTCAGTGAATCAGTGTGGAATGGCTTGATATTAAAGACAATCGGGACAATATCAGCTTCAAGCCATAAATGAGTGCAGAGATTGGGACACTGGACGAATATGTAAGCATCGATAACAAACGAGATAGAGTGAATACTCGCCTCTTTCAAGAGACCAAGGGTGACACCGGCGCCAAGGAACTTGCACAAGTGCTCCTGAGAGAACTTTTTGATGGTCTGAAGAACGTGGTTCGCAATGTCAGATGCGGACTTAGTAGGATCGTTGGAGGTGTAAGGCACGATGGCCGATGCGAAATCGGTGTTGTAGACGGAGTCATGTATGGAAATCGCGATCTCAAAGCCTTGTCCTCCATTTACAAGAGCGCCAGCGATACCTGCCCACATAGGCTTATAACACGCCATCAGCATCAGCATGATGCACTAAGGGAATGATCGATCAAACATACAGTGAGGGAGGAGTAGGCATGGAAAGCAGGTTTGCCTGCAGCGTCGACGCTAGAAAGCCTGCGCTTGGCATGACTCGAGCCTTTGGATTCGAAGTCAGTAGAAGGAGGAGACATGGTAAACGAGGTTGAAGCTAGTAGAAAGGGTAGCGCACTATTTAAGCGAAACAAGAATCAGATTGGCGCTGGTGGGACTAATCTTGGTTGAGGATTTTGTGCCCCACAAGCATAAGAAACTCACACTGTATGTAGCCTAGTAAGTCAGGCAGAGGACCCTGATCACATCCGAGTGCCAAGCAAGAACAACGCGACCTAAACTGGACCTGTTTGAAAGGGGAAATAGGAGTTTATGAGGGTCTTGAGCGGTTGAACGTTGAACCTTACGAACATGTCCAACAAAACGTTTCATCCAGTGGAGTTGAAGGAGTTGATCTAATCAAAGAACCATTATTCCTGAAATAAGCACTGGGTTTTCGGGGTCTTAACTCACTTTTGTCAAAGTACATGCATGACCTGCCCGGACTGTGGAGGAACTTTTGTCTGGGACGACGACGTCTGCTCATCCATCTGCATAAAATGTGGTACACTATCTAATTCTGCTCAGTATGTCCTTGCCTCTCATACAGAATCCCATGACTCTTCCGGGCGCCAGTTTCAACCTAGCTCGTGGCTTTCCTCCTCGGCGGCTCCCCTCAAAAATATTTACAAGCAGGGATGGAATCTCGCTGGGCAACACAAAGAAGCGCGTGACAGAGGGAACGCTGTAAGTTTATTTCTTCTTTTCTTTTCTTGTAAATTATTTACTCACCACACGCCATGTCAGATCGCCATGAGCATTTTCATCACTTCCGTCCTGACCAAGTTGCAAAATCCCGGTCTATCTCCACGTGCAGAAGCTATCTTCACACAAGCTATGACAAAAGGCAAATACAGGTGGGGACGCAAGGCAAAGTTAGCTGCCGGTGCATCCATGGCTATTGCCTTACGTGAGGCACACAAGTCGGACTCCCTCCGCGACATTGCCTTTTTCCTTGATGTCTCGCCGTTGTCTCTGTCGCGCGCATTCGTGGCCGTGGTATCTCTCCTGAATTTTGACCTAAGCTCATCAGACCCAGTTGCCCATCTTCCCATCCTCCTGTCTCATCTTCAGTCCTTATTACATCCTGAGTCTGCCACTTCTCATCTACCTTCAGATCTCGTTACCATCCTCACACCATTGTCGTCTCATGCGGTATTGCGTATTGCTACGTCCCTATCGGGTATCATTAGCCGAGAGGCTTGCGCTATACCCGTACTACAGTCTCCCACCCCTCCTGTCGCTTGTGCGATGCTCATTCTCGCACTTGAAGCGGAAACACGCAGCCCCCTGCCACACCTGAGTGAACTGGCTAATGCGCTCGCGTCGCGCTTTGGCTTTGCGCGTGGTGTAGTTACATCGCGTTACAAAGCATCCTATGATTTAATCGAGGAATGGATCCGGGAAGTCCCTTGGCTCGATCAATTCATATATAAGGGAAAGGGTCGCGGTGCTTCTGCCCGGTCGAAAGTTCCGAAGCGCTCTATTGTTGCGAAGGGCATCATAGATGTCATTCAATTTCAAGAAGAGATATGGACGAGGAAAATGTCCGCTCTTGGAAAGCCCAGTATCATAATTGAGGCGGATCCGGCAGACGACGACGGCAAGAAGGACGAGGAGGCATTTTTCTCAGAGACGTCTTCAATCAGCGAGCTTCCTGAGCTTCGTCGTCAACAGCCCCGTAAGAAACGAAAAACAAACGATCAGAGCATCGAGGATGTATACCATTTCCTGCTCAATCCTTTGTCCGCAAAATCTCATACTCTGTCGAATCCTATCGTATCCGAGGGCCCGGCCGCTTCGACAACGCATTCTGATACTTCCTCATCTATCTTAACACCGCCAACTGTTCCATTTACGACGCATCTCCTCAGCACTTCGTCGTACGATTCGAAGCATTCTCTTTCTCGTCTCCAGCTCCTGGCTCTTAGCCGAGGTGGGGGGTCTGTGGAGCACATCTGTGATGACGAACTATTTGTAGAGAATGAATTAGAAGAGCTTCTTCGAAATAGCGAGGAACAAGAGGCCTTGAAGCCACTATTCAGACTCCAATGGCAAGAAGAAGATGACACAGTCGCACACCACGCAGATAGTGGACCTCAAACCGCCAGAATGGAGGTGAGTCGGGGTTCGGGACGCATCGACATGGCAGCTCTGGCACATATTCTAGGTGGGGAAGAAGTTATTGATGACGAGGAGGGTGAGGTTGAAAGCGGATCATCGGCGCCGGCGACGCCAAGACACATTCAATCAGATGTTGCCGAGGAGGTAAGCGCTTGGCGGCCCCTTTCGCCCGGGAATGCTTTTACGAGGCATTGCACCAGTATGGATAGGTACGAAGAGGAGTACTGATGTGTCTGATGGTTGGACCCGAGGCACCCCCACAGATATTCTTACTTTTTCATGCTACAGCACTTCTACTGTCATGTAAGTATCCATGTGAATATCTCGTGCTCAGAATGGTTATTGAACTTGCCTTTTGTTTGAAAGCTGGAGCACAAGGTAATTTTTCATTTGGTTCGTATCCAGCCTGCGTGATATGGCGAATATCACGCCTTCCTGGTGTAGGCTTGTTGCAATCTGGATAGCTGGGCCCAATAGTCAGATGTTGGAGGTAGTACAGAGATCCAAGGATCGATTTAAGAGCTAATTGTAATCGGCTTAACCATAATCTAAAAGTAATTTCGGAATACATCGTCCTCGTGGCCTGTCAAAGTGAAAGGCCTTCTCTGTTCCTATCCATAATCAGCAATAGGTAATTAACGAACACTAAACAAGTTGAGTTATGCAGTGGTTTAAGGACGCTAAAAATATCATCAATTCTCCACTTGTAGGCCAGGATCGAACCCCTTTGGAAAGACCTGTCGGACATTGATATTAATCCGAGTTGTCCGCATGTATAATTCATATGATGTCCAACTAGAGAGTCCTTCGCCATCCAATTTTAGGGAGAAGTGCTCGGGTAGAGTGTCCTCCAAGATACGGGGGACGCCTGGCAGATTTGGATCAGATCTGATGTAAGCACACGACAGGCTCGGACAAACCGTGATAGGCCCGTCTACAAGCAGGTCCTGACATTATCACAACATCACCCGAGCGAAGAAGAATTACCGTTGGCTCCACGTCTCTGGTGAGACCACCGATGAGGAAGATAGCGGCGTTGCCCAGCCTGTCGCGAAATCGCCACATCAAAAAATTATTGATCACCGAAGATAAGCTTTGATAACTAACGATATCGAAACCAAAGGTGATGTAGCACAGACTTCTGAGCGATCTACGTGAGCCATGAGAGTGTCCTGGAGGAACAATTAAGACACGCTTCTTGTTTCTTTCGGGAATGAACCATACCTTGATTTGATAGTAATTAACGATGCCAGCATCAGGTTCTACGATTCTCGCGGTTAGTCAGGCGAGATCAAGAACTTGAGAATTCATACCATATGTCTCATGCCAATTTCTCCAATGTTCATCACTCCATCCTTCCTCGTCCGATTGACCAAATACTTCTTCCCAGTCAACACTGGAGACAGCCCGCTTGCATATGGCTCCGATTTCATTGTCGACATGACCCTTGCCCTTGGTGAAGTCATACTGTTTACTACCCCAATGATATGACCATCCGATATTTGCCCAGCGCAACTTTGAGATAAGTGTAGTGGGTGAGGCTGGTGAAACAGTCGGGGACGGCGCGGGCAGAGGCTTTGGTGAATGCAACATCGATTGAAAATTGGCGGGATCAGTCGGTGTATTAGAGACCAATTGCCTTGGTCCAGAGTTTCCGGATTTTGTGTTTGACAACTCTGGAGTACATGCTCGTGTTCTGACCAAAGGTGGATCTGAACTGAGATGTGCATTCCATAATCCTTCCTCGGGCAGGATGTAATGAGCGTCGAGGTTTGTCTCGTTAGGATGCCGTGCATGGTCACGAAGAGCCCATCGCACTAGTCGACGTTGATCCTGCGGGGAAACAAACGATGGAAGTATAACAAGACCTGGTAAAAGGTTATTGATTTCACCTGCATGGTATCTCCTCTTGCATACCTGGGACGCGGGGAACTGTGAATGCTTTACCGACGCCAGAAGACATCGATTCATTGGTCTCAAGAAGTCTGATCTCAACCCCGTTGCAATAAAAACCTCGACCACTGGCTAGTGTCTCAGCGTCATAGGTGACTGATGTTAAATCCAAGACGTGGCTAAGATCGGGAGGGGGAAAACGTGCTTTGTATTTTTTCTCCGCTGCTCGGAATGGGGTCCATTCTGCATCTAAGTCTTCATTTCTATTCTTTGTCGTCTTCAAGTACCGTCGCCTGGCTTTCTTATAAGCTGCACTAGAGAGGTCATAGATGTCCATGATCAAGATTTAGTAGATTCCTACTACAAACAGGAACAAAGAATGCTTTGCGAATCGAGCTGAACTGACTGGCGCACGTCGAGCGTGTCCGCTGGCCGAGGTGATCAATCTATAGTCATGAGATTCGTTTACTAATACAATGCACAAGTTGAAGGTCTAAAGATGCGGATGAAGATATGATATAAGTAGTGTGATATAAGTGAACGATAATGATAATGCTGAGTATAACATTGTGATGTCGATGATGATAATGATCCATAGGTAATATGAAGGTGAGATGAAAGTTTTCACAAGTATTCGTTCGTAAACGAGGGCTGGGCCATCGGATACATCGTATTGTCTGGGTACGCGTAGTCTTCAAAGTACCCGGAGCCATGTTTCTGCAAAAACTCGTCTAATTCAGCTGGTAGGGGGTTGTTCAGATGTTTTCCTGAGGCGGGCTGGAACTGAAAGTTGACATCAGGAACGGGCTGCTGATAGTTGACATCAGAAAATAGCTCTGGGTCGAACTGCGGCATATGGAGAGTGGAGAGATCGACGGGGACAGTTGAGGGCCGGAAGTAGTTGAAGGTGGGGATGGGGAGCTGAGAAGGCTGTTCGTAGATGGAGGCGAAGCTCTCGGCAGGGAGATCGGGGAAGAGTCGCTCCCAGGGAAGTTCGGTGAGCTCGCCCGAGGATTGGGGGATGCCGGAGTCGCTGAACTCAGCAGGTGAGAGCGCATCACAGGAAACCAGCCCTCCGAGCTCGGGAAATGTTAGGTGGTTGAGATCCAGCGATGCAGGAATCTCTATTTCTGGCTTCATAAACCGAGTAGAGGGGTAAGGCGCGGCGGCGGTCCGTCGGGCAGCTTTTCCACCGGGGCTGCGACGCGCTTTGGGCTCGTAGCCATGTAGTTGTTTGCGGTGACGCGTCAAGCTACCCGGATCGGTGGTGGAAAACGCACACCCAGAGTGAGGGCACGTCTTCGAACGTTCACGAGTGTGTGTCCTGATGTGCGTCTGCAGATTTGACTTCTGAAGGGTCTTGTAATCGCAGTTAGGGAATGGGCATGCGTGCATACTGATCAGATAGTAAATAGGTCAGGAACCATTTAGGATGGTGATAAGGTACGAGCACGTACAGAGCCTCCTTGTGTTCATCGTGCGTACGCATGTGTCTAGGAAGATCCGCCTTGCGGCTTATAGTCTTGTGGCAGACAGGGCAGTTGACAGGTGTCTGTAGATAAAATCTCATAAGTACAAGGCGTGGGATGTGAGGAAGGCTAGAAGCGTACCATGTTACGTCCTGCAGCAGGCATATTGTGATAATGTTTGATAGGATAGAAGGGGTTGTGAATGATCTGGGGAGTGGAGTTAAATCCTTGAAGTGAATGAATAGCGAGTGCGTTGTGTGAAATCTACACATCTTGCGCGCTTCTTTTAAAGCACCAGGCGCGCTATGGACATCGAGTACGATTGCTTTTCTGCGGCGCGCATTTCTGCCTTTAAAGGCAAAAAGTGCGAAGCAATCGTGTGCGATGGTCTAAGCATAAGGGACGAGCCACTCGGTTAGCGGGGAAGGTAAAAGTGTTGGAAGAGGGTTCGATTGCGTCCTAACACTTTTCATTTTTTGCCTTGTAAGGTAATTTCTTATTACCTTCTCGATGTGGAGATGAGTGGCTCGGTGTTCGGACCTGAAGGCCTCATGGATGGGGAAGTATGCTGTAGGGACCCATACTAGTAGACCCTTCCGAAGAGAGCTTTGCCTCGAGGCGCTGTTGAAGGCATTGAAGATGGTATGGAGTTTCAATTCCTAGTACGAATATCAAGGACTGCATTTGCAGTCACCGACAATGAAATATTAGAAGACTCGGAGGACGATGAAGAACAACAAGACCAAGTCGCCAAGTGAAACTTGAACTGCTATTAACACCGCTTACGTCAGCAAGAACAAACCACGACGGTAGGGGCTAATAATTTGTACTAAACAAGCACTACCATGATTATCACCAATTATCCCTACTACACGCAGGCGGAGTCTTCGAACAACAACCGTCGGGACCTATACTGGTTCGTTTGTACCAAGTTTGCCTATCAAGGAGTTCCGAGATGGCAACTAATGATGAAAGATGTGGCGGAGAGCTTGAATACTCTTAAGGAGAGACATAGTGAGTACACGGTGTCACTCGATGAAGAGGCCGGGGACCTCAAAAGAATGGAATCATAAGCTTGCTTTCGTACTTGTCCGATATCTCCCTTGTTCTGCATACAAGTTCTGAACTTTTCAGTACTCGGTTTGAGCCCGTATTGCCAAATGCTAGTAAGGGCCGGTCCATGTTTCGTAGAATTTGTATCAAGGTCCCGAATAATCTTGTGATTTTTGTGTGGCGGTGGGGACAGTAGAGCGTGATCTGGTCCGACCCGACCATGTTATAATTTGCGAAGAACCACCTCCCTTATGAATGTTGGTGATAGTGGCAGAAGTTTGCCTGATGTTAGGACAGGTGCTTCCAATACGACCGCAACAGTACAAGGCGAAGGAGCCGCGCGGCCCGTAGGATGATAATTTTGCGAACATCTGAGGGTAATGATGGCCTGATAAACGCCTCCAATCAACACTCCACTATCTCTCACAGCCGATCCAATCTACTCCAGAAATAATCACATCCTGCACCTCCGCGAGGATGAGTATTGTGCACTAATACATAATAAGTATCAGCAGAGCGACAAAGCAGCTATGATAGGAGATACCAATTCACCGGCTACTGGTGATATCATCGTCTATTCTGGTCAATGTGGGTCAAGGATTTTCCCTGCTTAGTATATCGGCACCACGTCTTATCAAGAAAGGTTCTAGGAGAAGGGGTCGATAGCAGAAGCTCTTGTGGAGAGATTGGACTGGAAATTAGTGATGGCGAGTCGGTTACTCGACTAGAGACGATTCAAAATAGAGTGATAAGATACGTTGACGCTGTGGCCCAGGAGAGGTAAGTCACGGTAGAGTAGAATATATATATATAACTTACCAAAATATTGAAAGTTGAGATTGACTGTCGCAGCAATCATATCAACAGGACTATGACATCTGGAAATCAAGGTCTTCTCGTTCGTCACATCTGTGAAGGAGACCGCGTAAAGCTTGCAAGTAAACATGATGGGTTTACATTTTCTACGGAACCGTTTGAAAAGGCGCGGGCCCGCTGCGAGACTCGCGGTGAGGCTACTCACATCCAAAAATCGACACAGAAGGCTACACATTTTCATAACTGATTCCAGATAGTATGTCTGCGTGAGGAGAGCATCACCCCAACCCGGTGTGCAGTGAGCGTCATAAGCTTGAAAGTCGATACTACTGATCCAGAGAAAACCAAGTCGAGACATCCCGGATCGGATGACGCTCAATTGCTTCCGACGCAGTTCGGGAACTCGGCCCTCGAGATCGGGTCAGATACTTACCAAATATTCGAAGTGACTTCACAGCGACGGTCATTCAACAAAGTTTATCACGACCAGTTGCTTCCAAGCATCGCTGGACAAACTCGCAGTGATGGGTGTACGAGCTGGTGTTGTTGTTTGCATAACCTCCTTCTTACTCGGTCAGTTTACTTTTTCACGACTTCCTCGGCGTCGACGTGTCATGTTAACACCTACTTTCAGGTTCACTCTTTACTCATTGGATTGCAGACTCTCTGACTCTGTGGAAGTCACCAGTAACTGACGAGCATTTGTGGACCGCGGCTCTTTACTACTCGATACTGACCAAAGGTCCCGTGCAAATCCTCTACGTACTCTTTGGCATCATTATACTTGGCGGAACAACCATCTTTTGGAGTTTCAACGATTTGGAAGCGGGCAACTTGATGTTTGACGGAGGGAGCATATGTATGTGTTTTGCTCAAGTTCTCCATCGAACGTTTATCACTTATTCTATTTCTTAGTCCTCTACGGCGTTGCTGTCATCATGTATGCGTACTCTGTCATTCCCAGTCAGTCGAATCATAAAACCACGAGTCGCGATACTAAAAATATTCATTCCAGATCTCATGGATCAGTTCACGACAATCCCGCCCTACCATATGAAGGACGCGTTTCCACGTTTGCTAAGAACACCTACTCTTGATCTCGCGTCAAACCACCTCGTTTGCAGCGTAGCGCTGACAGGTGTCCTGATACTTCAGGCTGGTCGGTGGTGGGCTGAACTATCCGACGGTGATGACGACGAAGAATATTTCTCTGAAAAAGTTGAAGACAGTAACGCTGTTGAGGACACAAAGTCAATGACTCCCCTCGTAACAACCGCATGATGAAAGCCACCTTTCCGCACATTATCTTCATGCAAGACTGCTTCCCAGTTATCCACACCTCTAGCACTCGTGCGTGCTCAAGTTTCAATTCACTGTTGGATGGTCTGGCCCCATCTAATACCCTTCACGATCATCGCACATGGCATATATTGGTTCCCGGGTCATCACATCTTCGTGCGGCAACAATGCTTCCATTGCGCACTGGACGAGTACTATTTACAAGCCGTTAATGATATATCATATGAACATGATGACGGCAAAGACTTGAATAATGACGACATTTTGGAGATTCCAGAACGATCCACACGATCCACTCGCCTTTGCTGGCCGAAGCCTCAGTACTAAGTTCTTATGGTACGTATGGATAATAGAGTTGTGCTCTAGTCTATGTGTAAAATGCCTGAATGAGCCTTACTCCTGGACAATGTCCTCCTTCCTCGGTCTCGAGTCCTTGATTTCTTTGCCCTGACCTATTAACGTTTGAGCCTCATCATCGATCTCGATACCTAGCCTCATGATTAGATCATGTCCCCAATAGATGACCAGGTTGCTCACCAAGGCCCTCTTCCTTTACAAGACCGAGTACGTGCTCCAGCTCCACAAACCCATCTTTGTCGACATCTAGCTTTTGGATCACTGCTTGTCCAACTACGTCGTCAGGCTTGTGCTTGATCACAGCGAGTGCCTTTTCTAAGTCCTTCACAGGTATGCGTCCTTGTGGATCTGCAGAGAACATCTGCAAGGAATCACCAACACGTGAATCGTATTCTTGCAATTGAGTATCGATTTTTGTGAGCATTGTCCGGATACGTTTTGTCAGCGCCCCTGAAGGTGACTTGGGATCCTGAGTAAGATAATTAGTATGGAAATTGCAACAAAATTCAAAATACTACCTCTTCCGCCTGAAGGTTCTCCTCCATGAGGGCGCGTAGTTCATCACGTTCTTTCAGGACGCTAGACTGTGCCGACAAAATCGACAACGCTTCGCCAAGCTCCTTCAGTTGCTCGGTGGTCATACGAGCGTTCTCCTCTTCGAACCGTTCCGGATGAAGCTGCACCATGTAAATTAAAACATAGAAGCTAGGGTCTGAGGGTCAAAGTCACCTCAGTGTCAGGCAGAAGAGATTGTGCGGTGCGTGCTTCCGACTCGTCGGCCTCACGCTTGGCGCGGCGCGCATCTTCTTCCTTTTGTTCCTGCTCCTCTTCATCTTCAATGAGCTCCTCTTGCTGTTGTAGAACTTCGAGCTTCTGTTTGTAGCTAGCGCTGTCCGAGTCAACCTCTAGTTCAGCCTCATTTAGCTGAGAGCGGACAGCGTCAATGATGAAGAGGAGAGTAAAAGGGAGTACGAACCAAGTTATCTGGCAATCCGCTCAGGACACTTTCAAGGCTCTTAATGACAGTTGTTTTTCCATCTTCATCTTCACCAGGCTTGCGGTCGAAATGAAATGCTCGCCCGAGAATCAATAGTACACCAGAAACACGATTATGAAGATGCAGGTGAATCCACGTAGTCAACTCGTCCCGGAGTCGTGCAGGAGAAACGCCAGTGGTACGGATACCACGCGATTGGCATGCAGCCTGCAACTCCGAAGTCGACAACTCATCGACACCTTCCGAGTAAATGACTTGATCGTCTCGGCGAAGATTCATGAGACGGGAACGAATGGCACCCCGAAGGAAATTGTCTGTGCCGAATGCATTGACACCCATGTACCGACACATTGAAACGAGTTGCGGCCGAGACAAGTTATCAAGAGTAAGGTCATCGTCAAAGAGCTTAGCAACATTGATGATATCCGTTGCAGAGGGCGACTCTCCGGTGGAACGGACCCTCCTGAAAAACTCTTCGAAGGCGTCCGAGCCTACTATGTGGGCATTTGCCTTTAAGCCAGACTCTCGCAACGTTTCCTGGAGGAACTTTGCCATTTCGAGTCTCACTCGGAGGAGCTTTCGTTGTTTCTCTTCCTACTTGTGTATTAGCCAAGCGAAAGGAGAAAATAAGTCATAATGCCTTACAGCAGCAAATTTGTCTTCAAAAGTCGATGGAAGCATATTGGGGAATAGTTTCAAAGCAACAGGAAGTAGGAGCTCCATGAATGGCACAATGATGAAAACAGCGAAGGGTACGAGTCGAAGCAAGTCCTGGGTCGTACGCTTTAGCTAGATACCAATTATCATAAACTTGGCCGTCAGCGGTGTCAGAGATAATGTGCTCGCCTGTCGCCGTTCTCTTCGGGTCAAGCTTTCTCCATGAAGAATCTTCCACTGCAGTCTGGCGGAGATCCTGACTTCCGAAACAAGTAGCTTCGAGCCATGCCAATAGTGCGCCGCTTCGTGTTTCACTTTTTTCCAAGCCCGAGTCATGAACGGCGCGTCAGAGGCAGGATCCTTAGGTGCAGGGGGTGCGGCCTTTGGTTCAAGAGTGGATGGATCGTCGGTGACAATTTTAGTCGTAGCATCACGGCTTGCAGGAGCAGACGAAGAAGTTGATGTGCTCTGGGAGCGGCGCAAAATAAGAGCATAAGTTACGGAGTGCGGCGACACAATGCGAGTACGTGGACCCAGAGAAATGTAACGAGTGGTTCGTGCTTCGATAAGTTGACGGCTATAACACCGCACAAAGGCAGCTTGCTGGGAGCGCGGTAGCCATACTGACATGGACGTTAAGAGAAAAATTGAAGAGTTGTAGCTAGCTAGATTATTGGTCGACCATAAAATTCACGGAATAGCACCAAATTGCCAATTGCGTATGTATGTCGTTCGGCCAACGTTCGGCAGAATCATAATCGAACTCCGACACATTCTTGTCGGTAATAATACTCAAAACAAACATCGATCGGACATTGAACATCCTTCCGGCATAGCGGCAAATTGAACTGTACACCATACCATATCCAGAGTATGCAAACTCTTCGATGCATCCGCCGTGCGGTTACGGTTGCGGGCCCAGGTCCAGTCACGTCTTGGATTCACTTCCAGGAGCATCACTGGGGCAACACCTCCTTCTACGCCATGGTTCATCGATTACTGAAGGGCCAGTTCAATCAATCACTAGGCATACTCCTCCTCACCTCGCTCCAAAAACCCATGAGCTTCCAGAAAACCTCTCTGCCGGGATAAGGCAACTATTTGTGCAGCTCAGTAAATCTCCTTTGCTAGAGCCATCGACTTTGAGTGTCCAACGACCTATCGCCTCTCTTCCTGGTCCTCCATTACCTCGAACGTTACCCAAGGGCCGCCGGAAACGCGGGCGCACATACTCTGGAGAAGGCCTTGCGGAAGAGCCTGGAGGTATATGGGACTGGGTAGTCACTGCTCAAGTGTGTACCGTACTGGCGTCCTCTGTGTCTTTCTTGCTAACCACTGTTTCGCAAGGTAAAAGAAGGCACCGAAAACCGAGGATCGATAGAAGCTGTCGTACGTCAAGTGCGAAAGACTGTGCGTCTGCTCAGCCCTTTTTCTTTTGCAGTAACTGAAAATTGTCGTCTAGCTACTGTCTGTGGACCCACCGCTGCCTCTTGCACCCAATTCTAAGCGGAGAATGCTCAATGGGTGGGCCATGATTGATGCAGGCAAATTTGCCGTACATATACTGAGCTGCGATGCGCGGCGGAAATATTTCGAAAGATCAGCTGCTGAGTGGTAGTTTGTGGCAACCACTACGACGAATTATGATACATCCCCAACTCCCACTTTAGTGGGAAGACCGCACTGACGTCGAGACATGTATTCATCGATTTGCGCCACGCTATCGCACGCTCTACAACAGGCTCTCTCATCGAAAAGGTGTAATGCACTCGCTAATTATGTTCGGCAACGTGTACTGTCCCTATTTCATGCTGGAGCAAGTGTTTTGAGTGATGTATTTATTGAGATTTGACTCGCTCTCGGATAAGGACGTTTTGATGGCGTTGACTACATCTTCTTATGTAATGAGTCAAAACCACTATGTGCATGAAAAATAATAATTCCATGTATTTTGACAAAAATAGCAAATATTCGAGATAAAGTATATATCAAAGTTCCCATGAAGTTCCCATGGTTGTTATTTGACCACCATGTCGAGCAGAGCAGGTGGCCTGTACGGCGGCATCCAATTCTCTACTGGCGCAACCTTTAGCCTTTCCTCATCATCTACATCTGCTTCGCCTGCAACACCAACACCTGCAACCAGAGTAGACAAAGTCGAAACTCCCGCAGCTCTAGAGGCTATTTCAGCACCGGCACCAAGTAATACAAGCAATGATGGAACCAAGGCAGAGGATGGAAGTATTGGAGGAACAGAATCTGGGTCTGTAGGAAAGCTTTCAGCCGGTATCTCCCCCTCCTCTGCACATCGAGTCTAGAAGCAAAATATTGACCGTTGCAATCATCATGCCACTCCTCCGAACTCGCACAGGATGGTCCGCTGCGCTTGCGTTTGCCCCCGTCCGTCGTGCACCAGCAAAACCCAAGCCCGCTTTAACTCGCCTTCCCATGGGTGCCAAGACTTTACCCACTCCTGCAACAGCTGCAATTTCCGCTGCCATGCCAGCTTCGGGCCTTTCCGCAACAGCCGTCGTCTTCGCTCCGCCAGAACTAGTAACTACGGATCAACAAGAAGAAGTTAAGGATGATACCGTTCAGAAGGACTCCACGTGGCGCAAAAAGGAAGGCTGGGGCAAGAAAGTCAAACCTCCATCCATGATACTCGATGAAGATATCAATGGCTTCAAGGCGCAGCATAAACGCAGGGCTGGCGGAGGGGGCGGTGGAAGGAAGGGGAGGAAGGTATGTATTTCTTGACCCAGTTTGGTATCTTCATTGATTCTTGATATGCAGAATAAGAATGCCCCAGTTGCGGCAGTATGGGATCCGTTGGAGCCTTACGACACTCTCAAGCCGAATGACTACAACGAATATAAGTTATGGAAGCAACGTGACCGCGTCGAGCGGGCATCCGAACGTGCGGCTGAAAGGAAACGTGCTCGCGAGGCTCTCGACAGAGGAAGTGACCACACAGGCAGCGACAGTGAAGGCCAACGCCCCAAAAAGAGTGGTGTGCAAACCAACCCTGGATATGTAGCAAGGTTTAACTTTTGGTTTCAGGGAGATTTGACCACGGGTCTTTCGATAAGTGGTCTCGCGCAGATGACGAACGTCCCCGTGGGCTTGGTGCCTCCAACACTCCGGCAGTTCATGTGGATCGCAATATGTCAGGGGAGGAGGCCTTTCAGCGGCGACTTGCAATGTCTGCTGGTGCCGCCGCTCGAGTACCGTCACCGACTCCTGTGCCTGTTGATCATAACTTATCGGGTGAGGAAGCCTATCAGCGCCGCCTTGCCATGGCCTCGGGAGGTAACCGCCCGCCCGTGTTCTCTGCATCCGCTTCCCCTCTCCGTCAACCATCGCCGGGCGGCAGCGATGACGAGCCATCAAGCCAGCCACCTGCTCCCGTAATGCATCCGGCACAATTGATGGTGCCTGTGCCTCCAACGCGTTCTCCCCCTCCATTGGCATACAACCCCTTTGCACCGCCGGCAAATATTCCACCGCCGCCACCTCCACCATCATCTCAAATACCAGTTGCACTTGAGGACAAGGTCAAGGCTGCCGCAAGTATCGCAGCACGTCTTAGTGCGCTTGCTGCGGCTGCAGGTGGGTCGGGGCCAGGATCAAGTCTACCTGGCGCACTACCGCAAGAAGATGCTCAAACACGGTATGCCCGTGTACACTTACTGTCGAATGTGTCTGACAATTATGTCAGCCCTGATCCACAGGGTTTTGCAGCTCGTATGATGGCTAAGTGGGGGCACAAGGAAGGTCAAGGTCTGGGTGCCGATGGGAGCGGTATTGTAAACGCTCTTACAGTGGAGCAAATCGCTGCCCAAGGCAAAGGCAAGAAGGGTCAAAATCAAGCGCAGGGCCAAGTTAAAGTTAAACCAGCTATGGGTTCAAAGATGGGTCGGATCATCAATGACAACGAGGACGCGAAGGGTCGTGAAGATCGTTTAAGGTTTGGGGAGGCGAGTCGCGTGGTAGTGTTAACCAATATGGTTGGACCGGAAGATGTAGACGATGGCGATCTGAGAGATGAAATCGGTCAGTCTCAGACATTTCATTTGTCAGATTTTGACTAAATTCCTCCAGGCGAAGAGTGTTCGAAGAATGGAACCGTCGAGCGAGTTATTGTACATCTGACTCAACCTCAGCCGGCGGATCCAGAGGAATCTGTCCGCATATTTGTGTTGTTTGCAGGTCCCTCTGGTGCGTGGAAGACCGTGAGGGAGTTGGATGGCAGGTACTTTGGAGGGAGGGCTGTGCGGGCAAGATACTTTTCGGAAACTGCTTTCTCTCTACATGACTTGGATGTTGCAATCACTTAGCTACTAAGTAGGATCAGTCGATATACAATTTATGGGTCGCCCGGATGTACAGCGACCATTGCAAATGTATTAGTCAGAGTCCCCTATCTATGTTCTAGTTGCAGCCGTTCCGACCTAGCGCACGATGGGACTTGCTGATAGGCCGGCAAGCAACCAGTCAAGTATGACTTCTCACTGATTAAATTTAAATATAGAACTCGCTAAATTTACATGGGCAGAACTTCCAGCCGAAACTAAGACCAGCCTGGCAGATATTCGACTGTAGGTCTTTAATTTTTACTAAATCTAAATCTGACCATCATTTATGTAGTGTATTCCCTCTTCTTCCATATTTTCGCTACAACCCGGACGTAGCCACTCCCACAACTTGGGCTGCGCGGTCCGCTTATGCAACCATCCACCGAGATGTACGTGACGCTATCGCAAAGGTATCTAACACCAAGAGCGAGCACGCTCATCCCAAAGTACCTAGAAGAGATTTCGAGATACTTATAAACTCCTTGAGTTCGGGGTCTCATCATCACGTCTTCGAACATCTTAGAAGCACTTTTTTATAGTACTATTAGCTACTACATCCTAGTATTCGACAATCTGCTCAATATGTCCGCTTGAATGGCGGGACTGCCTTGCATTCATTTTCATCCAGAGTCTCGCCAATGACACTCCGGTACTTGAGAGTGACGTCGGGCAAGTTGATATCGGGCTGTATTGTCAGGGTGTGCTTCATCCAGTGGTCGTCGTCACGCTACAGATACGTTTAACAGATAGATTCACCAGGTGTGATACAAACACTAACCTCCGGGAAGTCCTCACGAGCATGAGCACCTCGGGACTCCTTACGAGCAGCAGCGGCCGTGATAGTTTGAACCGCACACTGAAGGAGGTTGCGTAGTTCAAGAGTCTCGACGAGATCACTAAGATGAACGCATGAGCAGGAAATCAGCATCCCCATAAACACAAAGCCGTACGAGTTCCAGATCATGCTCCTATCCTTGATGCCAACATTATCAAACGATTTGTATATTTGATGTATCTTCTGAACACCTTCATCGAGAGTCTGTTGTGTGCTGCGATGATCGTCAGTATCCTTTTTCATTCCGACGTAGTGGGTGGAACGCACCGGAAGACAGCGGCATCGCTTTGCATGGCTTTTTGCATCTCTAGCCTAATTTCGGCAGTAGGCTTGGGACCATCTGCATTTCTGATCTGGTCCAAGAACTCCACGCTCTGAAGGCCAGACTCTTCAGGAATAGCTTTGTGAGCTTTTCCGGGAGTCAAGGTCTCCGCAATATGATGAGCACATGCGCGACCAAAGACGACGAGATCCAGGAGGGAGTTTGCACCGAGACGGTTCGCGCCGTGAACGGACACGCACGCGGCCTCACCAGCTGCATACAGACCAGGAACGATCTTGTCCTTGCCATTCTGATCACAGTATAAGCAGGATGCGACCAGTGCAACTAGCCCAAGCTCACCTCGTCAACAGTCAGCACCTCACCAGTGTACCTGGTGGGAATACCACCCACTATCAAAAGGTCAGCTACAGTCCAGAAGATAGTATAGTAAAGATACTGACTGTTGTAATGGACAGTGGGCAGCACTGGGATAGGCTCCTTGGTGACATCGACTCCAGAGAAAATAGCAGCAGTCTCGGAGATACCGGGAAGCCTCTCGTGGAGGACTTCCGGAGGTAAATGGCTAAGCTGAAGGTAAAGGTGGTCCTTCTCAGGCCCAACACCACGGCCTTCACGGATCTCAATCGTCATCGAACGAGATACGACATCACGGGAAGCAAGATCCTTGGCCGTGGGTGCATAACGCTCCATGAAACGCTCGCCCTCAGAGTTCAGGAGGTAACCTCCCTCACCACGGGAACCTAACGTACAGTCAGCCACAAGGCAGATATCTGACAGAAAGACAGTCACCCTCAGTGATAAGGCAGCCGGCGCCATAGATGCCGGTTGGGTGGAACTGAACAAACTCCAGATCCTGCAGAGGAAGGCCAGCACGAGCAATCATTGCATTACCATCACCTGAACAGGTGTGCGCACTCGTGCAGCTGAAATAGGCACGACCGTAACCGCCGGTTGCGAGGACTGTCTTATGTGCCCTGAAGCGGTGAAGCGTACCGTCCTCCATATTGAGCGCAATGACCCCAACACACTCGCCATCCTGCATGATCAAGTCCAGAGCAAAGTATTCGATGAAGAAATTCGTGTTGTGTCGCAGCGACTGGCCGTAAAGGGTGTGGAGGAGAGCGTGACCGGTACGATCGGCAGCCGCAGCACAACGATATGCTTGACCACCCTTGCCATACTTCAAAGACTGACCACCAAAGGCACGTTGGTAAATCTTTCCATCCTTGGTACGGGAGAATGGGACACCATAATGTTCAAGCTAGAAAAAGTAATCAGCCAAAGAAACGAGTACGTAAGGTCTAAGCTGACCTCGTAGACGGATCTGGGAGCCTCACGACACATATAATGGATGGCATCTTGGTCACCAAGCCAGTCGGAGCCTTTAACCTGTAAAAATTCAGCTCAACTACACGACTCGAGAGCGTAATGTATCAAAGGACACGAACTGTATCGTACATATGCCACCGCCAGTCGTCTTCAGTCATG